CCTTTACTGTGTAGTTATGCACAAATCAATTTTCCATTCCAAAGACCATGCAGAATCTGCCCCTTGTTTGTTACTTGCTTCACAATGATTTACCAACAGCTACTAAATTGTGCCAAAATCCAAATTTTCCCACTTAAAGGGAGCAACACTGCCAATGTCAGGTGAGCCCCGCAGGAATAAGCAGACACAAACACAGACAGCAGCAATGGCAAGCATTGAATGAACATAAGGACGTTGAAGCAAGCCCTGTGAACCTGGAAACCTCTTGTTAAACTTTGTTGCCACAACTGCACACTTGGCACAAGAACTACGGTCTTGTTTGGACCGGGAACTCATCTCATGCAATTGCACTGCAGTCAATCCTGACTGCTCATCCTGACCAATCGTCACAGAAACTTGACCATTCCTTCTGTCAGCAAATTTGCGAGCCACCAATTTGTTGTAAGAATGGTTGTTCCTCATAATAGCATAGGCATATGGAGACTGCCCATTTACATCCAGAAGGGATTTCCAGCAGGACAATCCAATCTACAAAATAGAGTCAAGAATTTTAAAAACTTGCTACAAATAAACATAATTCTGGCATTCAACCTAGTATGTATAGAAGTAACAAACCCATCAACTCCCCTCTCCTTTCACAAAATGAGTGAAGAGGAATAAACATGGTTTTATCATTTATGTTCAGCATAATATCAGCACTGTTTCAGTAGTGAGGAAAAGCACTTTTAATCTAGGATGCCAGATATGGACAATATTTAACTAAAATGATCTGATAAGGATAATCATGCAGAAAAAGTGTCAATTCCTTAAGTTAAACCTAAAACCAGGTTATAAATAATAATTTATGGTGATGTAAAACTCATACCTCCTGTGGATCATCTGTCAACACATCCACCATATCGTCTGAACCAGATGTACATGCAGCCAAATGTAGAGGTGTGATTCCACCAGCACCTTCAAGATTTGGTAGGAAGATATACTTCTTAGAGCTTTCATCAATGCTACTAATAGAATAATGAATGAGCAAGTCAGCCATCTTCCTACACCTCCTTTTCACTGCCCTGCTTAAAAGCTGAATCTCAGACAGCATCTCTACTGACTCCCTGGATAGGCCATCCATATACAAATTGCTTTCCACCAGAATGTCAAGGAGTACCTTGACCAAAGCACAGTAGTCTCTCTCAACAGAGAATATGAGCAAAAATTTGAACCGGCAAAGCAAATAATCTGAACTCTTAAACAAGGGACAAGTGCTTCTCCTTTGGAATAGCCATCCAAGTTCATTCAAAAAGTGCAGGACTTCCTCCCTTGATGTTGGACGGCGACCATCATAAGCATGCTCTTCAGAAATTATATCAGATGCTTTAGCTTCTATGTCAAATTCAGATTCCAGAAGTCTCAATTCTTTACAAATGGTAGCATCAGCTATTATAATAGGAAAACTGTTTCCCTTGAATCCATCCTCCACCTGTTCAAAATTATGGGAAAAGTTAAAACACAACTGCTAGAGAATCCTTCAGAATTGTGAGTACCCTCCAGTGAGCCGAACACAGTAATTGATTGACTTAAAGTCTTACCTCAATGAAAAAACGACCGACAGCGCTCGGTGCAGAAACCTGAACTTTGAAACCACCCAAGCTAACTTCATCATATGTGGTTCCCTGGTATGCTGACCCACTAATTTGCATTGATGAGTATCCACCCATGTATGCACAATGAATCCTGCATAGATTTCAAATTTACATTTCTGATATATAAAGACAGAAGGAACAGATGAATAGTTCTCAAATAAAAAGCACATTCTGCTTACTTGGTGCCAGGATTAGTCAGATTTCTACCCCTTAGTAGAAGAGAAGTTTCCTGCCCACCCACGATGGCCAACGGAGAGACTGAGATTAACTCAGGGGAACTCAACGTTCTCCAGGATTTGCATAGACGAATCTTTCCTAAAAAAAAAAATAGAAACTATCAAAACAATTCATAATCACTGCAGTGTAATCCAACCTCATGCTCCAAATCAATCAACTAATTAGTGAAGATCTATGCAGTCATCCAAACATAGCCAGTGATGATAAAGATACCCCCAAGGAGTAAAAATAAACTAATGATGTTTATAATATGTAAAAAGTTTGAAGCTGAGCAAATAAAAACTGCAATTTCCATTAGCACTCACCGTCTTTATGTGATGCTAATTGCCGGCCTGTATGAACTAAAAACCTAGCCTTTCTCCAAAAATCTGAATCCGTGTAATGCAACAAAGAATTAACATACTGAAGCAGGTTTCCCTCAAGCTGAAAAAACCACATGCACCCTGCAAATGGTCAGTTCATTGTTGCACACAAGGCAAATTTATAATGCAGAATGTAGTAGCATACTCACTTGCTCCCAAGCAACATATGACATTGACACATAGAGTGACAAAACCACGCAACCAGGTCTTATATAGCTCTCCATTTCAGACGGACTGTTAGAAAGCCAGTTATAGATCTGTAAAATGAGAGGTCAGTATCATCATTATATTCAACTCCGAGAAAGACCATAATGGCGTCTCCAAATCCAATTATAGGTAACAGGAAGGCCAAAATTCGCAAATAACTGCTCACCTGGGTCCGTAGTGTCCCAGGGAAGTGGCTGGGGTCCTTATCAAATAGCTTAAATATTATTCGTCCAGTGCGATCCTGCTCAGGAACCATTCAACCATTAAAAACGTTAATGCAACACAGCCAGGCACGTGTGTGGAGAAAGAAAGCAAACTGAAGTATAACTAAATAAATGAATCAGAATAGGTACTACTGGTAAGCTACCTGAGCATCAGAGTTCAAACTTGAGGGGGAATGATCCGACCCAGAAGAAGATGTATACCCAGCTTGAGAAGGAAACTGTTGAAATGAACCATGAGCATTTCCTCGTTTTGACCCACTAAAGAGCTCAAGAGGCAGAATAGAACCATGAGTCCTGCTTCCTTCAGCAATTGCATTACTTTCCCTGCCAACTGGCATTTTCTCATATTTCACAGCTTCTACTGTGCTATGCATTGGGAACAATTTTTGCACAGCTGGAGATGAAGTTGGAGATCTTTCCTCCATTGGGTTGCTACTGTCAGAAGAGAAATACTTCCTCGAAGATGCCAGTTTTGGTGGGCTGTCATTCTCAGGAGAAGAGCTAAATAGTTGCAATGGTAAATTAGCTCGAGTTTCTTGAATCTGGCATTCTGAATCTTCAACGGGAGACTGATAACTGGTACTACTTCTTTCTCCTCCACCTGAAGCAAACTCCAGAGGAACTCTGTTTTGCATAGTGGGAGCAGCTACATGATCGGGGCAGGTCGACTTGGTCTTCTCGCTATCACTGCTCTGGGTGCTTCTTTGAGATAAAATTGCAAAGGCATCTTTAGAAGATGATGTCAATGTCGCTGAAAGGGCAGCAAGTAAATCCATGGTAGATGGAGAAGATGTGTTTTTCCCATTCAATTGGTTTTGATGGCCTAGCAAAGGCTGCTCTTGGTTCTTCCTATTCAAAACCCCAACGTTGGGCAACTTTGCAGCCAGGTCCATTGGCAAAGGTAATGAATTAATTTTATTAAGAATCTGAACGAGTTGATCTCTATTTGGTAGTGATGAGCAATTAATGTTTTTGTCCTCATTTTTACCTATATATATAAGCACATAAACTTCAGCTTCAAATTAAGAGGAGAATTTCAAATAACACCATTTAGAACAATTTTCTTACCTTGTGACCGAGCCAAGGCAGTCAACAAGTTGACAATATCTAAATTGCCATTCCCTGCATTATCTCTGTTTACAGGTAGTAAAAGCCGTGAGGTCACATCTTCAGGTTGCGTTTTCCTCCTTCGGCGATTATGCCCAGCAAGTCTACGCCTACAACTTCTCTTCCCCTCATCAAACTCAGAAAGAAGGTGAAACCTGCAGAAACGCATTGTAAACGATGTGGGTTCAAACAAACAGCAAAACAGAAAACAAATGAATTTTCAAAGGACAGTATTTTAGTTTAGGGGAACATTTTACTCAAAAAAGGAACAAGTAGCAACCTGCTGCACTGCTGGCAGAACCTCTGCATGTGCTTTCCAACAAGTGCTTTAGTGGCTTTGCTATGGACCTCACACACCTTATGCCGACGGTGATAGTCCTTTGCATTAGAGAGATCTTCCTTGCAATTATCAACCTGACACATGGGGTAGTTAGTACTCCCAGGGGATCCAGAGCGGACCTTTTTGTTAGGCCTGGACACAGGCTCTTCCACGGAATTCAATCTCCCACCGAGATTCAGTTGCAGGCTGTCATCATCCTCATTTACCGCAGTGGTCTTTTTGGACGTTATAGAGTTCCCATTTCCATTAACACGCTCTTTCTTTCTTTGTTCTGCTGTGGCGGTCCCCGGCTGCAGAATCTCTGTGTCCATTGGTTTGGCAATGAATCTTACAGCGTCCCATTCCCATTGCTTAGGGTTCCAGTCCCTGGGGTTGGCAACGTGCTGTTGGGAAGGGTTTGGGTACTGAAAACCTGGGGTCTGATAAGAAAGATCACGTTTCCTCGGCAAGGAAGGTGGTTCGCAGAACCGGTTGGCAAGGGCCTGGTGCATAAATATGGGAGGAGCTAATTGCGCGCCTACCTCCTCCATGTGTCTGAAAATAACTTGGTACTCCGGAGTCCGGACACACAATAATCTAGACAAAAAAAAATGAAGATAAATGCGTATTCTTGATGCTTTATGTGGGATTACAGTAATAACTATTAACAAGAAGGAGGTTCAACCCATCCAAAGTCAAAATAGCAAGGTTGAATTGCTAAAAGTGGTTGATATGAACTGTTTTAGATCATAATTTCACGGCAGATTGTTAGATCACACAAAGATTGGGACGTAGAAATGGATGGGATGCTGTCTTTGTTGGAGTTGATATAATTACCTTCAACTACTGAGAGATAGTATATAAACAAAAAACAGTACTAGTATTAAATAGAACAGAGCATAAGGAAGGAGAAAGACTAAATATAGGCGCAAGGAAATCTTGCGAATTTTAGAACATACCCTTCAAAAAATCTCTGCTTCAGTCTTCATCTCTCCAACCAAAACCACAGTTTTCTTCTAAACAAGCCAAAAGAGAAAGCAACCACCTCCTTTTGCCTTTTACTTCATCGCAGTCGCAGATCTGAATTCTCCTTTGTCCCACGATTACAACCCATCCAACTTGGGAGCCAGCAAAACTCGTCCTCGGCTTACCCTCTCTTAACTAATAATTATAATATTATTACGGTAATTTCCGAGGGAAAACGAATCAATAAAAAACGAAAATATAGGAATCTGGTCTAGGACTAGTACAGAAAGGGAAGCAGCAATCGGAGGAAGTGGTCGTTGAAGGTAAGAGATCCGAGAAGAAGGAGAAGATGATGACGATGAAACAACTCGGAACTTGGGTTTGGCTCCACAACTTTGGTTTACTTTTTCTTCTCTCTCTATATCTCTGAGAAGAAGAAGACGAAGAAGAAGAAGGGTTAAAAAAAAAACTTGTAGATGTAGTATTCTAATTCTACTTTTGGCTGTCCTTGCCTTGTCACAAACTTTTCTTTTTCTTTCGGTGTTGGCATAAACCGTAAATTGACGCAAAGATTGAGGTTGTAGTTATGGCCGCCCAGCGACCAAGGAAGAATCCAAGACTCTTCCTTTCCTATTCCTATTTACTATTTGGTAAGTCGTACGACAATATGTGCTTTGGTACAATTATAATAATAACCCCTCCTCTTTGTTGAGTTGTATCGTTATTGACTACACAAACTATGGGCATATCCCCATGAGGCCATTACCAACATAAGATGTACATATTGATATCACGCAGGCAAAGACAGGACGTACAATCATTCATGCTTGTACCATCTCTCTCTCTCTCTCTCTCTCTCTCTGTGCAGTGCTGTTGATACATCCTTTCTTAATTACCTCTTTCTTATTCCTACCGACAATCACATTCCCATCTTTCTTTCCCTGCTGCCTCCTCCCTTGTCCAATTTTTCACCATTG